GCAGATCATCATTCAATCATGTTTCAATGGACACAAAGACATACATGTGAGGTTTCTTTAAATCAATTTAACAAACTTGGTTTCAAACAGAATACAAGATTTTGTACAATTGGGGACATCAAGCAGTCTAAAGGCATCAAAACAACATCAAACACATGCATCTCACACTATATAGAGGTCTTACACATGAGTCATAACCTATAAATGAATCTAAACACAAGCACTGCCTAGAACTTAAACAGAATCAGCACATGGCTCATGGAGTGAAAAATAGTAAATCAAAACCAACATCCAATCTTCATAATAATTGCAAACTTGTAAGGACAGACACAAACCAAGTTCAAACATAACTTATGGATTTTAGGCAACTCTAAACTAATGCACATCAAACATGGTCATGGTGCAAAAAGAATAAGTATTGAGTAGAGGTTACTTACCTCTTGAAGACCTCCAATGCAATATTTAATGTAAAACTGTCTTGGTTGAGTGAGAATGTCTTGAATAGATGCTCCACACCACAAATGCACAGTCCAAGCAGCTCCAACTCCTTGCAAGTAAGTCTTGGTGCAAAAAACAAGTTTCTTACACTTGAAGCAACAAATGGATCCTTGTGACAGATCCACCAAATGAGGGTGCAGTTAGTTTTGGATGTTTTAGACAGTTAACACACCTTATATCCAAGGTGTCTAAGGTATCATGAAGGTTAGGAAAGGTCTAAGCAGAGGGTTCTCTTGTTTTATGCAAAAAAAGTCAAAGTTCTTGGTGTGAAGGGTTGACTTTTGGAAATGTGTGGTTTTTGGTTGATTCAATGGTTGGAACACCTTTAGAACATCATTTGTAGGTTGTGTTAATGATGAATTTCAAGGTTTAGAAATGGATCTGGTATGAGATATGTTCAAGACAGATTTGGAGCTTTTTGTGAGTTTTCTTAGTTTGCAAGGAAGAGCAAAGCAAGAATGAGGCACTTGTTTCTTTTAGAATTGAGGCTTGTTATTGTGTGTTTGATGCATAGAGGATTGCTCTATTTATAGAGGAGATAAGGGAGCCAAGGGTTTGGACATATTTGAACAAAATGTGAAATGTCTTGCTTTTAGAGGGAAGGAAAGGTAAATCTTTCTTGTGATCTTCTTCTGCGGATTTTAAGCTTGTTTCCAATGCATCTTAGCATCAAAATAGGTTGTTATTAAGCTGTAGGAAGTGACTATAGGGATGGAAAGAAAATAATCTTCATGTTGCAGCAGATTTTTCTCCAAAAGCAATCTCTTTCCTCTTGTACTTTTGTACTTTCTTGAATTTAAATAATGATCTTAACCAAACCCTTGGCTTTGCTCATGGACTCTTCTGGAATTTTAACTTATCACACTCCTAGACATCAGATAAATGTTTACACAAATGTTTAAGAACCAATTGGTTGGTTGGTGTATTGATTCATGTCAAGTTGAAGTTGCTCATTTCATGTTTTTGGACCCCAACTTCCCTCCTTTGAAACTCCTAGCTCACAAATGCTATGGAAGAGTTCTTGTACTTGTTGGAAAGCCCTCGTCATGCTCTACAACTTTTATGTTTTAAGCTTTTTTAAATTTCAAGTGGAACTAGGTCAAAAATCCTCTTGAAATTGGCTGAAAACATGACTTAAAAGTGCCAAAATCATGAAATTTCACCAAGTGTTTTTCCCTCTTGACTTGTTTTTGATCATAAATCAAAATCTATTCATTTTTTCACATAGGTCACTTTTTCACTTTTGTAGGACTTCTCAAAACCTTTCCAACAAGCTTTGAACCACTCCATTTGGATGTGTGGTTAGGAAGTTATGGTCTTGCCCCTTTCAAAACCCTAATTTCCCGACTTTTCGATTACTCCTCAATTCTTGATCCAGTGGTCACCAAACTTCATGATTAGATATGGTATAACATTAGGAACATAATTGTCTTCAATTTTGGGTCCAAAACCTGTTGGTCAATGGGTTGACTTTTCAGTCAGACGAACCGAACGATCGAAAACCTCTGAATCGCTTGTTGATATTTTGGGTTCCCTGAGGTCTTGAAACTTATTGAGGGGACTTCAATAATTCATATAAGCTTCATGGACCATGATTCCACCATTGAAATGCCATTTAAGTCAAAAGTCAAACCACAGTTGACTTTTTCTGATCAGAAACCCTAATCGGGGGTCCTGGACTGCATTGTTCTTCTTCTTTAGGTGACAACCTCAAATTGGATTCATATTTGATCCAATATAGTATTCTTGATGACATAGGGAGTTGCTTCATGGAGAATCAATCCAAGACATTGACTGATCAAACCAAAGAAAACCCTGATTCCTGACTATATGGAACCCTAATTCATCTGTATGTTGACAAAGACAAACTTGAAATAGGTTAAGGTTAGATAAACAATGATGATGCTCCTAGAATTATTATGGAATCTAGGGGTCAAAATTTGGGGTACAACGCCTTTGTCGGCAATACTAGAGTTCGATCAAATATCACATAGGTATAAATTTATGTTCTATTGTTTGAATTAATTAAAAAAAAAGATGGAATGAAGCATAACATGATAAATGCATTTAATCCTATTCCATCACTTTCCATCATTTTTTAGGTTTAATGCATCTTTTGGCCCTTTTACTTAATTTCATATTTCACTTTCGTCCTTTATTTAATAAATATTTGTTTTAAGTTCTCTAAATCAAGTTTTGTTTGTCACATTAGTCTTTTTCGTTAAATTTTGTCAAAATCGGTTAAAGTAGGTAGACGTGGTACCCCAGCTGGCATTTATTTGATTGACTTGAAATTATTTTATTAATATTTTATTATTTATAATTTATTAAACATTATTATCCATAATATCTTTCCCACTTCTCTTAACCCTAGCCGTCACCTCTCTTACTATCTTCTTCCTATCACTTTCTAATCCTTTTTCGACCATTAAATTTATTCCCTTCAGATCTATTGTTAACTCTCTTAAGATTTTTTGGTTTGGAATAACAAACACTACACGTTCTTATGTTTTTTATGTGTTATTTTGGATTGTGGATCGGAATGATATTATAGCAAGATGAGAATGCGGTTGAGAAAGAAGCTCCTTATAATTCTCCTCCACGGTTTCATGTTCATTCGTTTGGTAAAACGTTGACAGCTTCTGTTACTAGTATCTGTGGTGAGTTTCCTTCTTTTTCTTCGTTCTTTTTCTTCTGCCTCATTGTGTTGTTTCTTCTTTCATTTTTTTCCCTTATAAGCTTATAGTAAAAATTGGAGGTGTTTTATTTTTTGATAGAACATGTCAAAGTAACCACCTAAATTTTAGATCGTCATTTAATATCTTTAATTTATATCTCTTGATTTCTTTTTCACTTAAATTCTATTGTTTTGTTTTGTTTGACTATAATGTGTGAGTTGAATTTTTTTTCAGGGTTATGTTATGTTACTCTTGTTGCTTTTGACTAATTTAGGAATTTCCAGAGGTGAGAATGGGGAGGTTCGATTTACATCTCTTGATTTTTTTCCACTTAAAATGTTGTAGCTAGAGATGGAAGCTAAGGAAGAGTTGCGCCAAGTATATGGTGAAACTGGTGTTCATATAAGGTACATACTATTTCTACTATTTCATGGAAGTGAAGAATCATGATTTTTATAATTTCTCTTTTGTTTTTAGGTTGCACAACTTTTTTCTTGCTGCAAAATGATGAAAGGGAAAACTACCAACTTGATGTCAAGTTTTAGGAATCTTTTCTTGAGTAGTAGAATTTTGAAATTGCTCACGATATCCATGGTCATTTATGCTGCAAATTCATCATCAACAAGATCTGAGTTGTTTTCTTAATTCCTAGTTTATATAGTGTGAATCACAATATTATACAAATTTGTGCTAGTTGATTGTTGATTTTTCATATTTTTGGATTTTATTTTTTATGTTCCGTTGTTGTGTCACTCATTACTCCAAAAATAAAACATCTTAAATTTAAATAAAATACTAATTTTTTAATACAAATGTTGACTTAACTTATTAAAAAATGCTTTGTTGTCATGCTATATAGACAAAGTTAACGTTTTTAAAAGAAACTTAACGGTAAGGACTAATTTAATTAACAAAACCGTTTTTAAAGGAGTAATATGAAACTTTTATAAGATAAGAGATTAAAATAAAATTAAAGGACTCCAACACTAATTAAACTTCTTTTTTATCATTCAATTAACAAAATTACTTTATTCCATCGTAGAATAAAAAAAATAACATTTTTATTTTATTCGATCTCGACTCTATTTTACTCCGTTATTTTAGAATATCCAAAGATAATCTAACAAGAATACACATATTCCTAGCGGACAAAACTATGAATTGAATCTTCATAACGTGACCGTCTTATTGAGCGTTTAACTTGTTAAGAGTAAGATTTCTATTAAATAAGTTACCCACCATTATGAAAGCATGCTTGAAGAAATGGAACTGTTGTATTTGTCTTCAATTCTGGTCAATATGTTGCCACGACAAATTGTAGACAGCCATTAGGGTCGCTTTATATGTTTTTTCTTTCTTTTTTCCGGCGAACTTATATGCTTTCCTATTAATGAAATACTTTCCCTATATTATTTTCACATTAATTCTACATCAAGAAAAAATTAATACATAACTAGATAAAGGTTCGTCAAAAACTTTTGAACATAAAGATAATAGTAATAATTAATATATCTATATCTATATATATATCTATATCTATATATATATATATATATATATATATATATATATATATATATATATATATATATATATATATATATATATATATATATATATATATATATATATATATATATAAAAGAAAGATAAAAGAACGTGTGGTCTAAAACGTATGAACTCAAAGAAACCATAAACTCATCCATTCATCTGGAAACTCTAGGAAATTTTGGTGAACATTATCAAGTACAAATGTTGGATGAGTTGTTATGCATATTCGTACATGAAATCTTCAAACTAAAAGTAAAAAGTGTGAATTAATCAATGGTGGTTCTGAGTTTTCAGGTTCTTCCTAACCTAACAACTCCACCACAACATACTCAAAGAACACATGGGTCCACCATTCGGTGTGGAATAGCTGAACCATCGGGTAAACCTGCTCCCTTGGGACAAAAAACTCGTTACAACGATAGCTTTTTCGAGAAGGCTTTTATCACTCTGTTCGCTAGAAAAATGGAACCATTTGCAGATCCTGTAATAGGGAAAGATAAAGAGAATAAGAAGAAGGGTTTGTTGGATTTTTGGGGTTATGATTATGAGAGTTTTGTTGATGTTTCTAAGAGAGTAATGTTGCGGAGGTCGCGTTTGCAGCAACAGGAAGTTGTTCGTGAAGTTCTTCTGTCTATGCTTCCTCCAGGTGCGCCTGCTCAGGTGGATATATAAGAGTTTGTTTGCTCTATTGCATGTTGTCTATGTATTTAGTTTGAAATTCTTAATGTATTTTGAATCTTTTAAACTATGATTTTGCAGTTTAGGAAATTGTTTCCACCAACAAGATGGGCTGCGGAGTTTAATGCTGCATTGACAGTGCCTTTCTTTCACTGGCTAGTTGGCCCCTCTGAGGTCATTTTTGTGCTAAATTCTTTCTGTGTTATCTATTGATTCGGAGTTTATTTACCTTCAAAAGAGTTTTGGTAATAACTATTAGAAACTCACACACACAACCGTGAGTATCAGAGTTCAAATCCTGATCATGGCGTCCAACTTAACAATATCAGCTTCACTGAATTGAGCTATGATTTGCGGACAATAAGATTGAGAGTTTGATACAAAAGAAAAACTTAGAATTCATATTGACAGATAACTTATAATTCTATATAGAGGGGTTGTGAGACACTAACAAACTAACTAATAGTACCTACTAACCAACTCTAACTAACTAACTAAATGTTAACTAAGTCTATATTATTATTTAACTTATATATTCTATTAAGATCCATTTATATGTAAAGTTCATGTGTGAAAACCAAAAATGAATGAAATATCAGGGAAGTTATCTGTCATTTAATCTATAAGTTAGTATTTCATATATATTTTCTGCTTGTCATTGATGTTTAGATTCTTGAGATGTACTAGGTTATAGAAGTGGAGATAAATGGGGTGAAGCAAAAGAGTGGTGTCCGAATAAAGAAATGCAGGTAGATATCAATATCATGTCTCTGAGATTGGTAATTTAACTTAACCGCATATTATATGTATGTATGTCTATCTAAACATGTAGATTTACATTAGACTCTTCTTCACATGAATGAGTAATGTTACAAAAAATAATTCTGTTAGAGATTTGGTTAGTTTGTTAGAGTTAGTTAGCGTTTAGAGTGGATATCCTGACAAGGGACTATGGTAGCTTCTTAATATGAAAATAACTAAACTTTGCATTGATTATATGGCCCTTGTAATGATTTTTTTTTCCGGTTTTTAATTGATTTATATTTATTCTTGCATTAAAGGTACCTGGAGAACACTGGTTGTGTTGGAATGTGTGTCAATATGTGCAAGATTCCCACACAAGATTTTTTCACTAATGAATTTGGGCTTCCATTAACAATGATTCCAAGTATGTTTTCTTGACATTGGTTACTAGCCAAGCTTTTATTGGATTTTTTCACTTACAAAATTGTGAGTTTATTATAAGTTTTTATTTGACATCAGATTTTGAAGACATGAGTTGTGATATGGTGTATGGCCAAACTCCACCTTCATTTGAAGATGACCCAGTCTCCAAGCAACCTTGTTTTGCTGATATATGTGAGTATGAATTGATCATCTTCTTTGCTCAATCAACCAAAAAAATTTTATATTCTAACAAAGGAATAACTTGCAGGCTCTGTAGCAAATCCAAACTCTAGTGTATGTCCAAAGTTACTGGGATGAGAAAGACACTTCGTTTTGGATAATTTTCCATGAAATAATTAGTGTATACTATAAGCTTTTTGTGATTTATACTTGAGGTTTTGTTGTCACTGGAGTACAGTTGTAGAAGGGAAAAATCAAGATCAACATTACAAACATATGGGAAATATACATTTTAAAATATGGCATGTATACTTGGATTTAATTTGTATATGAACTAGGAGTGTTAAATTTCTTTATACATGTTTTTTTTTGGTTAATGAAGAAATATAATAAATCTTACTATAAATTACGCTCATTATGGATTCCAATAAAATTTCCCTAGGTCTAAAAACCCAAGTAGTGGAGTGGTAACCAGAAGTTAAATTCCCATAGAGTAGTTGTGAGATTAGCCAAGTTATCATAATAAAATTGTCATTCAATTTTCATTTTGCATTTTATTTTTAATCATTTTGAAATATTTTTCACTTCAACTTTTGAGATCTCATTTCTCATAATACTCTTGACTTTTTCTAATTTTCTCAATCATTTATTTAATGTTTTGATGCCTTGTTTGTATTTTCCTTTTAATTTCCATTTTATCTCATTTTATTTTGATTTTGTTCAAATTTTTGAAATGTCTTGATTCTTACTCTTGATGATTGCTTGGTTGAACATATTTTTAATATCTGAAGTCTTTGATTCATGATCCTTTGGTTGATTCAACTTTATTTGGTTCAAACATGTTAATGAATGATCATTTAATCATCTTTAGCACTTTGTATTAGAGATAGGTTATCCCTTGCTTGATTATGCTTTGAGCCATTTGACTTGTTGATAGATGATCCATATGTGGTTGCTTGAGCCTTCATTGCATTCTATATATCATCTCTTCTTCTTTTTCTTTTGTTTGACTATTATGTTACATTGTTTTAGGAGATTAACTTTGTGTTAGTTCTTTAACATGTTTGACACATAAATTATTATTGACCGGTCTCAGATAGGTGTGACTTCTACATAAGTTCACTTACGATTGTTTAACATAGCGCTAAATTATACCAACTCAGTTGAAATTTCATTAATCATAATATTGACATATTAATTGTGTTAACATCTAACATTTATTTTCATGTTCTTTACGTTTATGTCATTTACATTCTACATTCTTTCCTTCTATTTTTGCTCTTTACTTTATGATTTATTGTTTTCCTATTTCAAAAGAACAAAAACATCATAAAATGGCTAAAACCCTAAAAAAAATTTAATTTGATCTTATGGACTTTGTGTTACTATCCCTTGCTTGAGGAGTATTGTGGACCTTAGACCTTAGGACTTAGTGTTTCCCTTTGCTTGGGGTGGTATCTGGTACTTTGTGATTTATCTGAGACATAGTGATTCCCCTGAACCCTTGTGATCTTCATTCCAAGACTTGGATGCTTTTTATGGCTTAGTCACTTTGGTTGTCCGTCTGATTTTTTTGATATTCATCAGCGTTTGTGCTTGTTCATCTTGTGACTCAATCCAAAGGGAAATGAATGTTGGTTTTGACAAATGTCAAATGCTTGCTCCTCTTATGGCTAATACACATGCACACACAAAGGCTTTCTTTTGGGCTACCTTACAGTGAAATCATTTACTTTATGCTTTAGGATAGTCTCTTCTTCTCCTTCCTACTTCTTAAATTTTCAAAACTTCTCCCTATTTCAAAAACTTCTTCTTTTCGAACTTCACACCTCTTTCTTAATAAACCTTAACATTGTCAAGTGATCCAGAAAATCTTTTTCTTAATAAATACTAAAACGCTTAAGCATATTCCAACTCTTTTCAAAATATTCTAAAAAATACAAACCTCATCAAACTTCTTTTTGTGCCTTTGTGCACTTTTTTTTAAGATCTTTTTTTTCCTTCAATATTAGTCTACTCTTGTATTCATGCAAACCAATATACTTCTACAAGATGCTGAGAAATAATTGACATTTTCCACTTGAATGTTGAGATGTACTTGTGAAAAAAGTCTAAGTAAAAGTTCTCCATATCAAGATGATGCAAATGCTTATTTCCTCATAGTTATGGATAGTAAAAAGAAAAGGTTCGGGCAAAAATTAGGGATAAAAAAGAAAAAGAATAAACCCGCAAAGTTGAAAACCTGAAAAGGAGACTTTGGGAAAAAGGGGTATCCTGGTGGATTGAAAACCCACAAGGGCGATTCAAGCAAAAGTTAGGGATTTAAAAGCAAATGACTATGGCCTGCGTTCGATCTGTGAATGCATTTTGACTCATGGAAGCCCCGAAGAGTAAAAATTAGTCCAATCAGTCTCTTCAGAAGGCAGAACATTGGCGAAACATCGACGACATGCGGATCATAGCCGAATCAATACATGGTAGTTGTTTGTTTTCACATTGCCGATATTTGTATATTTCTTGTTGTAATTTTTTCGCAATTACCTCTTTTCAATAATTGTATCTACTGTTATTTTTCAATTTACAGACCTTTTTCAATCAATAAAGTATTATTCACTCAAAGAGCTTTCCATTTCTTGTTTTACTTTTACTGTTTTGTTTGCAAAAAGGGGCGTCTAATATTTTTGTTAAAATTTACATGTGAAAACATTGGGGAATTACAAGTCATATTGAAAAGAATGAATTTACTTGAATGATGTCATGGGTGGTAACCAAAATAGCCATTTTCATACAGGCCTTTTGTTATTTGTTGGTTGTTTGCAGGGTGACATGATCTTTTTCCCCAATAGAGCTTATCTCCCATATGAGTTTTCAGGGGTTGGTTACATCAGTCAGGGTGTGATATGTAGTCAGGCATTCATTTAGTAGCAGAGATTGTTGTTCCCTCACAGAGTATTATTATCAGATCAAGGGTTTTCTTATCAAAAATGATTTACAATTATCTCATCAGGTTAGAATGAAAGGTCATATCCCCAAGTAGAGGTTGGCGTTGATTTCCTTGACAAGTATCTCAGTGGTGGTTGATTTCCTCGGTAAAGTCCAATGGTCATTTGGTTTTCTTGGAAGTCAGATTTTTAGATCAATTCCCTAGTAGATGATATTCTCAATTCCCTGCATAGTAGATCTCTCCCCATAAGAGTTTATTCAGGAAGGTCATTCAAGGCGTGTTCCTCAGCAGGTATCCATCCAGGGCATTCTCCTTAACACAGTTGGTTTGTTGGTTTTATTTCCAACGCTCTTTCTGACAGGATTCCTTTTGTATATCATTTGCATTTGCATCCTCCTAAACGCGTTATATTTTCATTTCGTATAGAGCATTGCGCCATTTTCAAACATATGCATCTGAAGCATAAGCAAAGTTTTGATATCACTGTTTCTAGACATCTCTCTAGCAGATATTGGCGTGACTTAAGATTTCGTTATCTTCACCCCAACAAAAGTCATTGGTGGGTGTGTTCATCTTATTCCCCGATAGAGTTTGTTTGTTTAAACCTCTCTTTCCCTAGCGGAGTTTCTGTTTTAGGTCGTAAGTCGTTTGATTCTACTTCCTGTATACTTGGTTTATCCCAACTTTTGGTTGGTCATCTCCTTTTGTTCCACGCGAAATATTTATCCCAACTTTTGGTTGGTAGTCTTCGTTTTTGGGTAAGTTCGCCTTTGATCAGCGTCCCGGTGATTCCAACTTTTGGTTGGTAGCCATCTGCTTATTTGTTGACGATCCCAACTTTTGGTTGGTAGTCCGTTGTTTCTTGGATGTTATCTCAACTTTTGGTTGGTAGTCCATTTTCGTGTTGGATGTTATCCCAACCTTTGGTTGGTAGCCATCTAATTATTTGTGACGATCACAACTTTTGGTTGGTAGTATGTTGTTTCTTGGATGTTATCCCAACTTTTGGTTGGTAGTCCGTTTGTGTGTTGGATGTTATCCCAACTTTTGGTTGGTAGTCCGTTGTTTGTTTGGATGTTATCCCAACTTTTGGTTGGTAGTCTGTTTCTTGTCGGATGTTATCCTAACTTTTGGTTGGTAGTCCTCAATTGAACTCCCTTACGAGGTCGTTATCCCAACTTTTGGTTGGTAATCTTCCTTTCGGTGTGTTCGCCTTCGGTTGGCATTCCGGTGATCCTAACTTTTGGTTAGTAGCCTTCATCCCAACTTTTGGTTGGTAATCTTTTGGATGATCCCAACTCTTGGTTGATAGTCTTCATTGTTTATGTATTCGCCTTCGGACGGTGTCTGGGTGATCCTAACTCTTGGTTAGTAGCCTCTTTCTCACAAATTTTGGATATTACTCTCTGGTGATCCAAACATTTGGTTAGTAGTCGTTGTTATCTTCTTGATTAGTTACCTTTTCGGTTATCCCAACTTTTGATTGGTACCCGCTGGTTTTTTTAAGTCCACCTTCGGCTGTCAATCTTTGCATTGTGAATATCCCCACAGTTTAGAAATTTTCGGGTTCTTTTGGTATTCAATCACCTTTTACCTTGAATGTTTGAAAGCGGCCGCTTTTCATCCCTTCAGGTCCAAGTTGTTTGAATAGGGGCAGTTGTAGCACCACAAAATTTGCCCATCTTTTTTCTTGGGTCTTGGCTTATATTTCATTTCATTTTCATTTTCATTTTTGCATAGCATTGTTCTATACAAAAGATCAAGGTGTCATGGCTTGTTTCTCAAGATAGGAGGAGCATGTTTCTTCAACCTCAAGCAAGGTTTTCTTCTTGACTTTTATGGTATTATCAAGCCCCAAAGATCCTCATCTTCAATTATGGTTCAAGGAAACATCATTTCAAGATAAGCCATAGGTGTTTGACCTAATTTAGCAATTTGTGGATGCTATGATCAAATAGGCATAACTTCTTCATTTTTCAACATCTCGATGTGGTTCTTTTTCTAATGAAATCTTCTCATCATCCTTAACAAGTTCTCTTTGCAAGGAAGAATCTAATTATGCTTAGAAAGTCATCAAAAGTTTGAAGATATTATAGGTCATTTTGAGTTTTGGAAGGATTTTCTAGTCAACTTCAAAAGGTCATAACTTGGTCAATTTTCATCATTTGGAACCCATTATTTTTCTAAAATAATC